GGTCTAAAAGACCTTTTCCAAGCCAGGGCTGGGGATTAAAGGTGGTGAGGCTGAGGAGAAATCCCAGGGCCAGGAGACAGCTGAGCAGAGAGACTTTTAATCTAAACCTTAAATGTTTTAAATCTAAACCTTAAATTTTTTACTCCCTGAACCCAGGGTGTCGCTTTAAATACACATTTGGCAACATCAGCTGTTCTGTTTTTCTTTTTAATTATACTAAGAGAGATCCTGGAAAGGGCTGGTCTGAGGGCTGGGGGAGGCCAGGAAAGTTTGGCAACAGAGACACCAGCTGAAAATCGAGTGGGTTTGAGATCATTTTGAAGGAGCGTGGAGACCAATTCCCCAAGACCCTGAGCCTGGTGTGGTCAGTCCTGACTCAGACTTTCTAAAAGGAGACTGACGGTCATCAGCTTAGCATGGAGAGAGAGGACAGATGGACACATCCCCGGGATAAAAATAACAGCAGCTCCCGCCCTGCTCCTCTACCTGGAGTTTATTCCCACGCCTCTGTCCTCCCCCACTTCATGCTTTGAGCCCAGAAGGGCTCACTCACTGGTGCCTTTCTATTTCCAGGCTACCCCCTACTGCGGGCCAGACACTGGGGGGACTGTTTATAGGGCTACAGTGTTTTATGCACTCAGCTCTTCTGTGAATAGATACCAACATGCCCCCATTTTCCAGATGGGGGGGCTGATGTTCCGAGAAATTAAATGCAACCTTCAATCCACTAGTGTAGGATCTGAGCTTCTTTGCCCCCAAATTTATTCCAAGTCCTACCTTGGCTTTGCTCTGTACCCCCTGGGAGGATAACCTTGGAGGCTGCCAATCAACTGGCTTCCCGCACAGATGGAGCAAGGGCAGGCAGTGGTGGGCGGGAGGATGGGAGAAGCCCTGTTTCGGCCACCCCCCCCCCCACTAAGCTCAGGTGGTCCCTGAGTTTCCTTGTCTCCACCCCACAGAAGACAGGCCCAAGGCCGGCAGGGGGTGGAGAGGTAGGGGAGTTGGGGGGGCCGATTCCATTTCTCTCTGGTCATTCCAATCCCTCCTGGGTGCCAGAAACAAACTACCTCTGTCCCTCCAGCACCAGAACCATCACCCTCTTCCCTGTCTGCCTCCCTCCACAGTCCTTACCCATGAGGCAATTTTCTGCACAAACGCCCCTATTCTGGTCTCTGTTGCTGGTTTGTGGCTTCTCACTGATATCCTGCCTTTTGTGACCACGGATTAGCTGGCTCATTGATTTGTTTTTTGTTTTTTTAAAAGATGAGCAATCTTTTTTTTTTTTTTTTTTTTTAAAGATTTATTTATTTATTTATGCAGGGACTGGGTACAGTCAGAAGTGCAGGAGGGTGAGAGAACTCACCAGAGCCAGAGCGGGGAGCAGAACAGGCAGAAGGACCGACATACACTGCTGAGGGGAGCAGCGGGCGGCAGGAGAGGTCTGCGCGCCATGTGGGACCCTCCTCTGGTGGCCGGGGAGCAGCCGGGGATCGAACCGGCGCTGCAGAGGCTGTGGGCAGCTTCACAACTCAGCGCTCAACTGCTGCGCCACCAGGGAGGCCCTGTTTTTGTTTTTTAAGACGTGGGGTACAGGCCAGAGTCGCGGAGGGTGACGAGATTCAGCAGAGAGAGTGGGGAGCAGTACAGGCAGATGTACCGAAATACACTGCTGGGGGAAGCAGCGGGCGAGGCAGATCTGCTGCGCCATGTGGGTTGCTCCCCAGCCAACTGGGGATAGAACTCACGCCTTAAAGGCCATGGACAGCCTCACAGAGCTGTGCTCAACCCCCTGCGCCACCAGGGAGGCCCTAATTTGGGATGAGACAACCCCCTTCCACGGGCACGGCATGTCCCAAAGAAGGGAAACAGTGACCAGCATGTATTGAGCAGCCAACAAACCGCCAGTCCCTCTCTGCCAAGTCCCTCCACCTTCCTCATTCGACAAGTGGGACTCAGAGAGGTTGAGTTGCTTTCCCCAAGTGGCGCAGTTATAAATTTCAAAGCTGGCATTCAAATCCAGGTGTTTCTAGGTGCAAAGCCTGTGTCCTTCTCTAACCTCTGTTGACATCCTGAACGTGCTTTGCAGCCCCTGATAAACCTAGGAGAACCCAACTTTCCCGGCTGATTGAAGTTCCTGCCTCACTCCAGGGTACTGGTTTTGTTCCCCAGGCCCGCTGCAACAAAGTCCTGCACAAGCTGGGTAACTAAGAACAGCAGAGGGTGTTGTCTCACAGTTCTGGAGGCCAAAGTCTGAAATCAGGGGTCAGAACGATGGGAGGGGGCCTCCCTGGGGACGCAGGGGTTAAAGACACAGCCCTATCAAGGTATCAGCAGTCAGGACAGCTCCCCTCAGCAGTGTGTTTCAGTGGATCCGCCTCTTCTGCTCCCCTGTTTCTGGTGAATCCTCTCACCCCCCACACCTCTGGCCTACCCCCCAGTTCTTGTATACATAAATAAATAAAGATAGATCTTTAAAACAAAAAAAATTCCGCTTGACTTTTTCCTATATAAACCCTGAAAGGCTGAGCGCGCACCTCCCGCCACGAGGGGGAGCCGCGCACGGGGCCTACGGGCGCTGCCCGTGGTGCAGTCTTGGTACTCACCACTGGCTTGTTTGGTGGGCTTTTTTCTGGGGCCTCAGTTCCTCCATCGATTAAATATAAGGGTTTTTTTTTGGGGGGGAATTTGTGCACCCCAGGGTGCCAGCTGACGCTAACCAGGTGGGGGAGAAGCTACTAATCACTGGCCCTTTGGGGTTCTAGACCCCTTGGGATGAGAAGCTGGGATCGCCCAGACAGTAATTGTTTGTCTTTTTTTTTTTTTGGGGGGGGGGTTTTTTTGTTTACTCTGTGCACAATGTGAGATCCCAAGTCCATAGTGATTAACTTTTTAAAAATATTTATTTATTTATGCATACAAGAACTGGGGTACAGGCCAGAGGTGTGGGTGTTGAGAGGATTCACCAGAGACAAAGTGGGGAACAGAACAGGCAGATCCACTGAAATCCGCTGCTGAGGGGAGCAGCGGAGAGGCAGGAGAGGTCTGCTGCGCCATGTGGGTAGCTCCCTGACCCGCAGGGGCTCCAACTCGTGCTGCAGAGGCTGCTGACAGCTTCATAGGTCGGTACTTAACCACTTGGGCCACCAGGGAGGCCCCCCACAGCGATTTAAATAGAATTAGAAAGATGGTGGAGGGGCGTGATGCAGGAGCAGGTGAAAGCAAACCCCTTCCCCACCCCAAAGCCCCTGCTGAGTTCAGCCCCAGATCCTTTTGCTCCTTTTCAGTCCGCAAATCTCCCCCCCAGCTCCAGCCTCTTCCCTTCCAGCCCTGCGGGTCTCCTCAGGCCCCGGCACTTCCCGAAAGTTGTGTGCACCCAGCTCCGAGCTGCGCATTTCTTGGGTTCGGGGCTTTCTGTTGTCTTTCCCGGCGAGCGGCCCGGGTGAGAGTCGCGACTGAGGCAGAAGCGAACCGTGTTCTCGGGGCGCCGGGGTGGGGTGGGGTGGGGTGGGCGGCAGGGCAAGACGTAAATAAACTGGGTGATTTCAGGGGCGCCGTCAAGGAGCGCGAAGGGACACGACTCGGGGCGCGGTGGTGGCGCCTGCCGCGGGGACGGGAGGCCCCGGAGGCGGGAAGGCCCCTCCGAGGGGATATTCGGGCGGAGACTCGGATGGCGAGTGGCGGGAGGGGCGAGTTCAGGGGCCACCAGGGAAACCTGGCGGGGCGAGACTCAGAGTCCAGCTGTCCTCGTAACACCGCCCCGAGGCCCCCGGGGAGCCCAGCGCCGGCGGGGCCGGGCCTTCCCCCGGGTCGCCCGAGTGGCGAGCGGCCGGGCGCCCCCTGGTGGCCGGGGAGTCGGACCCTCCCGCCGGCCCGGCCGACCCCGCGCCCTGGGCAGCCCCAGCGCCCCGGCCCGGCCCGGCCCGCGGCATCTGACGCGGAGGACGGAGCTGCGGGCGCGGCAGGAGGGGCTCCCGGGCCGCGCCCGCCCCCCGCCCCCCGCCGGCCTCCCGGAGCTCCCGCAGCCGCGGGGGCCGCGCACGGGCCGCCGCCCCTCGCGCCCAGCCAGGTCTCCGTCGGGCCCGCCGCGGCCCGGGGACCCAGTCGGGGCGGGCGCGTCGCCCGTTCCCCGCGGCAGCCTCGGCGCAGGCGGCGCCCCCGGGCCCCGCAGCCCGGCCCTGGCGGAGGGGCCGAGCCTCCGCTCAGACAGACGTCGGGGCGCCCGCGGGGCGCGCCAGCTCCCGGGCGGACGGCGATGAGGCCCCCGCGCCCCCCGGGGCCGCCCCGAGCGTTCCGACGTGACCCCGCGCCCGCGCGGCCCCCGCTTCCCCCTCCCAGCCCGGCCGCCGCGGCCCCCACGCGCCGGGCTCCACGGCGCGGGGCGAGCGGGCGCAGCCCCCGGGCCGCACGTGACCGGGCTTCTCCCCGGGGCCCCGAGCCTCCCGCTCCAGGAGGCGGGCGGCCCTGGAGGCTGCCGCGGTGACCTCAGGCGGCCCGGCCCGGGAGCGCGGCCCCGGGAGACGGGCCATCGCGGCAGCTGCGGTGGGCGGCGCCGGCGGCGCGCGGCCCGGGCCCGGCGCTTCCAGAAAGGGGCGCGGGCCGGGCCGCGCGGCGCCAGGGGCTGTGGGCGGGGCCGGCGGCGGAGCAAGTCACATGACGCGCTCGGTCACGCCCCCTCGGGGCGGGGCGGGGCGGGGCGGGGGGCGGGGCGCTGCCGGCGGCTCGGGGCGGCGGCCAATCGCCGCGCGCCGGGGTCCGGGCCGGTGTCGGGGCGCTGGCCGCGCGCAGGCTCGCCCGCTGCCGCCCGGGCTGTTGCTGCGGCGCCGCGGGCCTGCGAGTTGGGGCAGCGGCCGCTCGCGCACTTCCCCGTCCTCGCGGCCGCCGGGGTCCGGCCCGGCCCGCGGGGCGCAGGCGGCGGCGGCCTCGGGCGGAGGCGGGGCTGCGGCGGGGCGCGGGGCCCGGCTCGCGGGCGCCCCGGCCGGCCCGCGCCGGGCGCGAGCTCCATGCATCCGGAGCCCGCCCCGCCCCCGAGCAGCAGCAGCCCCGAGCTTCCCCCGAGCGGCGGCAGCACCGCCAGCGGCAGCCGCCGGAGCCGCCGCAGCGCGGACGGGGAGCCCCGGGGTCGCCGCCGCCCGCCGTCGCCTACCCGGACTGGGTCGGCCAGAGCTACTCCGCGGCCATGAGCCTGAACGAGCACTCGATGCAGGCGCTGTCCTGGCGCAAGCTCTACCTGAGCCGCGCCAAGCTCAAAGCCTCGAGCCGGACCTCGGCGCTGCTGTCCGGCTTCGCCATGGTGAGCTCGGGCCGCCCTCCTGCCCCCTCTGCCCCGGGCGGGCCGGGCGGGCGGGGGTCCGGGGAAGGGCTGGGCAGGCTGTCGGGGACCCTGGCGGGGTCGGGGTGGAGAGGGTGACAAGCCTTGCAAATGTCCAGGGCTGGGGGCGGGGTCCAAACGCCTGCAGATGGACAGGTTTGCTGCAGCGAGGGGAGGGGAACACGGTAGGCGCCTCGAAGCCCGCCTTTAAGAGGACTGCTCCCCGGGATCTGATATGCGGGGGCGGGGAACGCCAAGGGCCCGATCTAGAGAACAGGTGTCAGGAGTGGGGAGAGGCGCGGACCACTTGCTGATTCTTTCGTGCCCCCCCTGGAGGCCAGGCCTGGCCTTTTGTCACCTGGCAGAGGGGATTTCCTGACATCTGCCTCCCACCGCATTTTAGGAGAGCCTCTGCCTGGGGGTTTGACAACGTCTCCCCACCCTCAGTTTCTTCTGCAGAAACTTGCCACTGAGTCACTGGGTGTGGGGGAGGAGGGTGGGCCAAGTTCCTCTTGAATGGGCTCTTTCTTGATTTAGGGGGTAGTCAAAGGCTCCTCTCCCGCATCCCCAGGGCTGGAGGACAGGGCCTCTGAGGGGTGGGTGGCGGAAGGCTGCAGCTGGGACCCACAGTGGCCTTCATGCCTTCCGGCCTGGAATCTTGGAGTCTCAGGCAGGGCCCTCATAATAATTCATTATTATTACTTTGGCTGACTTCAGCTTGTGTGAATGGTGTCGTCCCCCGCCCCCCCCAGGTCTGTAGCCCAGATCAGCCTGCCCTTCCCCTTGGATGAGCTAAGGCCTTGGCCTAGGCAGGGAGGGAGGGGCTGTACCCTCCCCTTTTCCTAGGAAGGGTGTGAGTCTTGTCTGAGTGTCCCCGTGTTCTCCAAACAAGTGAGCCGATGCTGTGGAGCCTGAATTTTTTGTTAGATTTATTTATTTGTAGAAGAACTGGGGTGTAGGCCAGAGGTGTGGGGGGTTGAGAAGATTCACTAGAGACAGAGTGGGGAGCAGGAAATACACTGCTGAGGGGAGCAGCGGGTGAGACAGGAGAGGTCTGCTATGCCGCCATTTAGGGGATAGAGCCAACTCCGGCCTTAGTGGTGATCACACTCAGCTGAGACTTAACCCCTTACGCCACTGGGAAGACCCCCAGAACCTGAATTTTGTAGGAGCCCCGAGCGGACCCAGAACACACAAGGGCCTCCGTGGGAAGGCAGGCCGTGGGGTGTCCGGAGTAGCTCTCCCAGCTCTGCTTCCTGCTGCCCCAGTGACCTCGGGCAGATCCCTCTGTGGGCCTTGGTTTCTCAACCAGTAAATGAAGGTTGCTACTCACACATCTCTCTGATTTGAAAAATTAAATCTGTGTGTGTGGGTGGCTTCTAGTGTGTAATTTAGGTTGATGGAATTATGTTTCTGTCACTCCCAAATCCTAAGACATCAGTCTGCCTTTGCTTGAAGGACCCCTAAGAATGACCGGCAGCTGCCAAGCACCCACTAAATGTCTAAATGCCAAGCCCTGACCTCCACACCAAGTCTGCGTCCACCCTTTAAGGAGATCTTGTCCAGGAGCTCCCCGCAGGCCGCACAGCAGCTGCTGAGTGGGATCCGCACGGGTCTGCTGGCATCCGGAATTCATCCGGGCACTCGCACCACTGGTGCTCTGTGGCCTCCAGAAAGGGCCAGACAGGGTCAGCAGGCCTCCGGGGGGTGAGAAATGGAGCAGAAGCGTGTCTTTGAAGCAAAACAAAATTTGACAGTTTTGAGGAAGGGCGTGACACCAGAAATGATCAGCTCTTCTCAGCAACTCTCTGGGCTTGGGGTGGTGGGATGTCTGTTCCCCTTTTTCTTGGCATCATAAACTCAGGTGACGACACGGGGCAGCACTATCATCTAACCAGACATCCAGCTCCATTGCCCTCTTGCTACGCACAGTGCAGAGGAGGCAGGAGCCAGGCACCCCCTTCCTTTGGGACCTATATTTTCTCCAACTGGTGTGGAGAAGTTTTCCTGGCTCCACTGATGGAATCCCCGGTCCTCTGTTGGCAGAGAAGGGCTAGACCCCATGAGAGCTCCATCCCCCAGGAAGTGGTTGCAAGTGGGTCTCTGTTTGCTGAGTCTGGAAAGCTGTGGGAAGAGGAGGGGGGCGGGTTGTGTAGCAGGGCAGTTCTGCCTGCCCCCCACCCCCACTGCAGACACCCAGCCACATCAGTGAGTCTCCAGAGAAAGGGGTGCCTCACAGTCCTGCACTATGGAAACAGTTTCCTGGATTACTGTCCTTGGCCTGTGACTCAGCACAACCAACTTCCTACCCCCCCCCCCCCCCGAGGGCTTCCTTCCTAAGGACCTGGAAACTGAGGAGCGGACAGGCCACCTGAGCTCCAGGGTGGACAGTTGTCTGCTTGTCTGGGATGCCTGGCTCACCTGCTCAGCAGGTGGCATTGAGAGAGCATCTCCCAGGAGCCTGGAGGGAGTGGAGAGACTCCCCCCACCTTGTGGTAGAAAGACCTGACTCAGGGCCCTGATGGGGGGGCCCTGGCACATCAGTGAGCCCTTTGCTTTCTGGCGCCTACTTTCTCGTGTGCACATTGGGGCACAGGACCTGCTTCCTTGCGGGCTCGGTGAGGAGTCGTCACGAGGCCACTTGGCCTGTGGGGTTGAGGAATTTTTGGAATCTGAAGTGGTATGCCTTCGCTGGACCCTCTGTAGTCTGCAGACAAGACTCCCGGTCCTGACAGCATTTCTAGAAACAGCCGACCTCAGCCAGCCTTACCAGCCAGGCTCTCAGGAAAGACACAAAACCAGGGTTCCTGGAGGCACTCCCAGGCCAGCATCCTACAGGTGCTCCATGAACCCAGGGGACCTTCGTGGGCTATGATTCCAGCCATGCATGCCTCAGTTTACCTCTCAGGGAATGGCAGCCCACCTCGGCCTGGCCCTGTTCTCTGCAGGACCATGGCGCGGGCACGTGGCAGCCTGCTTGCCAGGGAGGGCAGGCTGTAACGTTAGCCTAAGCAGAAGATAATTGGGAAGGTCAGCCTGCCACCGTAAACAAAATGCCTTCCACGACCTGGGATCAATTACTTTTGGATTATCAGCCTCCTCGGGTTCTCTGCCCGCCAGCACCCTTTTGTTTCCAGGTGCCAGAGCAGGTTCAGGAGTTGCTTGGAATTTCTGTGGAAAGGAGTTGGAGGGAAGGGCTCAAATCATAAGACGTCGCTGAGCCTTGATGACCTGTTCGGAACTCGGGGGGCATGGACGTGAGGCGTCTCCATACTTGGGACTGCACCCTGATGGGGGTCGCTGCTCTTGTTGACTGAGCTCTGGTGCTCAGCCCAGTGGGCCGCGGGTTCCCTGTGTACCGTCTCGTGTGATCTCCACACAGCCTGGTGAGGGGCTCAGCGCAGGCATGTGACTTGCCCCGGGGGTACCTGGGCCCTGTCTCCTTGGTGGGGCTCTGGGGCCAGGGGAGCAGAAACAGGAGGTGGTGGGAAACCACTCAGATACAGCAAAGTCAGAACAGGGACTCTGGAGCCAGACAACTGGGGTTCAGTCCCAGCTTTACCACTTACAACTGAGTTTGGGAAAGCGCTTGGTGGTGCTGGACCTCAGTGTCCTCATCCGTGAAATGGGGGATAATAGTTCCAACCTCATAGGTTTTGGCGTGAGCATTCACTGGGTTTGTATTTGCAAAGCTCACAGACTGCACCGCGCCCTGGGTGCAGGAAACACGCCCCCTCTGTTCCCAGGGTGCTAGGACTGCTCTGCCCAGGCTCACCACTGAAGATGTGCTTCCTGCTAAGCCTGGAGGCTGGTGGAGTTAGGGCCAGGGCAGAGCACTCTGAGGGGAGGCCGCATCACGACGAAGTCAGAAAGGTGAGAAATGAAAAGGGTGTGGGATGAAGGCAGAGGTGCTTGTGTGGCCTGAATGGAGGGTGCTAGGGTGTTGCAGAGAAAGATGAAGCCAGGCAAGCAGGTGGAGGCCTTGACTGGCTGTCGGGAACTTTGAACTCTGCATTGTCAGTAGGAGCCAGCGAAGATTTTGGAGCAGAGGAACTGCCTGAGGAATTTTAGAATAATGAAGTTACTCTATACTGACCCCTAAGTGTGATCCTGGACCCCTCTTCTTTTTCATTTAATCCTTAAAACAGCCCTTCAGGTGTGTGCTGCAGGTAGGAAAACAGAGGTCACCTGGCTGGTGAATTCAAGCCTTGTCTGCATGACTCAAACATCCTCTCAGCCCCCACCCTTAGGCTGCTTGATAACTGGGCCTCTGACAAGTTCCAGGGTGTAGTTCTGCACCCTGGGTGTGTGAATGCCCCCAGGACGGGTGCTCCTGCCTCACTCAGAAGCTAGCTCAGAACTTCACAAGTGCCTGTGACATATTTCTGGAATTTTCAGCCCTGAGCAATGTTGAGTTTTGCTGGTTGCTGGGCCAGGCCATGGGAAGGAGAAGGCTAAGTAGCATTTCCCAGCCTGGCACTATGGCACTCAGTGCGGAGGGGGGGAGTTCCTGGGCGAAATAAAACTGAGAAAGTTTTCAACAAAACCCTGCAGCTTTCTCCAATGGGACTTTTGGCAGGCCTGTGACGCACCTCCCAGCAAGGATGTCCCAAATGGATAAGATCTTGGGCGCTGTCCTTTGGAGGGAACCCTGTGGGACCGTGGTTTGACAGCCAGCTTGGGGGGGGCCTTGGTCTCCCCCAGGAATCAACCTGGTTTTTCTGTGCAGGGCTAGGTAGTAAATATCTTTGATTTTACAAGCCACACAATCTGAGTGACTGTAGTGCTCAGTTCTGCCATGTTACCTCAGAAGCAGCCACAGGTCAACAGGCGATGAATGGGCACGACTGTGCCATAAAACTTTATTTACAAAAACTACAGTCTGTGGGCCAGTTTACCGACCCCTCGACTGAGCAATGGTCTCCACGTTTTTGAGCCGGTACCCCTCAAAAAATCATTAGTGCCAGCCTTTGTCTTTGCAC